CACTTCTTTGAATACGTGTTTCAAAGTATGCTATCAAAGTGTTGCAAATGTCATATTAGTAGCCGAGCCTATTAATTTCCTATTTCATGTGCTGCATTAGTCATTTAACATAGTTAGGATCGTGCATCTTTCAAACTTGATTACCATTAAGTTAAGGTTGCTTGAGGTCCTATTTGAGCTTTAGAAGAGGGTTTTGGCATGGTTTGGCTTGATTTTGGTGCTTAAAGTGTATCTTGTCTTCAAGAGGTAGAATACTTGTATTTTAAGCTTAATTTAAATACTTGTTTGGCCATCTTTGCATACTAATTTGGGGCCGGTTTTAACCTTTGAAATCTCTATTTTTATGGTTTAAAATAGTGGTTTGAGGTTTGATTAGAGTTAGGGGTAGTCTACTCTTCTTGTTGCTTGATTATTAAGTTGTTGTGCCATCTTTCAAAGCTTTCTAAAACAACTTTTCTGGCTCTTTTAACCACTGAATTCTAGGGGATTTTCAGTGGTAAAAACTTTGTTTTGAAGTCCAAAATAGAAGGGGGTGGCCTCCCCTCCATGTGTCTTGTTTGCAAGTGTAGATAGCCTAACATGTGAGCATATTTTTCTACCTTTTTGTGACTTGATCTTAGCATGTTTTAACTACTGATTTGGCATGATTTAACTCTATTTTGGGCTGTCTTGGTCATATGAGTCTTGTTTTGCATGGTTGTAGTGCAAATGACATTTACTAGCTCATTGTTTTAGGCTCTAAACTTGATTTGCTTGAGATGTTTACATGTTGAAGTGTCTTTTTACATGAAATTTCAGTGCTCATAGCTCTGTCACATACTCATTTGCATCACTCTTTCATTGCTTTTTAGAGTTGCTCTTGAGTCTTGTTTGTAGCCTAACATGTGAGCATGTTTTTTCATCCTTTTGTGCCTTACTCTCAGCAAGTTTTAGCCATTGTTTTGTCATGTTTTAACTTTGTCCAAAGCTGGTTTGGTCAGTTGAGCTTTGTATTGCATGCCTACGGTGTTGTGATCTTCACTAGCTTAATGAGTTAGGCTCTTAAACATGTTGTGCATGTGTTGCTTGCATGATTTAGTATCATTTTTCATGCCATTTCAGCATTGCAATATCTGCAACCTCCCTCATTTCTTCATTTTTCCATTTGTTTTGAGGGTTGATTAACCTTAAGGTTGTGTTTAAGCTTGAGATAAAGTTTGTGCTCAATGGTTTTAATCCTCTTTTGAGGGTTTCTACTAACCAACGGTATGATTTCTCTCATGTCTTAAGTCATCCTTTGGTTGACCTCTCTCTCATTAGAGGACACTCACCTTGGACTTAACCGGTTAAAGAATGATTCGGTAATATAAAATGCGTAAACAAAATTGGACAAGTAAAACTTGAGCAAGATGAGCATTTTGTGTTGCATTGCATGTGTTCAATCGGACGTTATATTGAACACAAGGAAGATTGGTTCATTTCATACTTAAAGTGATGAAATGAGCCAATCTCCTTTGTCTCCATCACCCTTGATCATGTA